GATGGCTTTCTGTACCTCTGCTCATCCCCGAGAACCAATCGAATAGTGTCTACAAGCTTTGCTTAAGACACGACTTCAACAGGGATGCCATGATGTTCCATGGGATTCCATGATGTTCCATGAGGTTCCATGATGTTCCATGAGGTTCCATGAGGTTCCATGAGGTTCCATGATGTTCTATGAGGTTCCATGGGATTCCATGAGGTTCCATGAGGTGTGACTGGTTGGATTGTTATTGGCTGCAAGCCATGTCAGGATGACACTGACAAATGGGAGCTGACAAATGGGAGCTGACAAATGGGAGCTGGCAAATGGGAGCTGACAAATAGGAGCTGACAAATGGGTGCTGACAAATGGGTGCTGACAAATGGGTGCTAACACAAGTATAAAGACTGGTAGGGTTGTTGTTGGCTGCAAGCCGTGTCAGGATGACAATCACCCATGGAAGTTATTCTCTCCACCCACTCTTATGATCCTCTGCACCTGCTCTGGGACTGCATCTACCCACGCATTGATAACCTCTATAGGCCTGGCCTCCCGCTGACGTTTCCACTGATCCTCACACTCTCTGGCATTACAAGATGGTGAGAATTCCTTTGTTATGTGATGCCAAATCCAAGGCCAGGCATGCTTGGATGCATTGACCTCAAGAGAGTGACCTGGCCACCACAGCCTATCCACATGCTCGACAATGAGATAATCATTTGAAATTCAAGCCTTATGTGCAGGAGCACCATCCTGTTGAAGCACACGCTTGAGCCCTTGCTTTTCTAGAGTTTTGATCCATGGGACAACCTTCTTGAGGGCACCTGTTGAGGTCATGTCTTAAGCAAAGCTTGTAGGCACTAGTCAGGTTGGTTCTCAGGGATAAGTGTAGCATGAAGGAAGAAGGGGTTGGTCACTTAAGCAATGCTTGGAGTGATCAGGGGTAGATGTCTAGTCAAAGACTGTGGTGTCTGGAGGCAATGAGTAGTACAGAGTAGACTGTTTGGCTTGAGAGCGGTTGAGATTCCAATAACAAAGTTGATTGACAAGGTTGAACACAAACCATAAAGGTTATGTTCCTACTTGCTTATATACAGTCCACCAGATACTGCTTATTGACAAGCAGATTTGGTCCTGGCCTATCTGGATGGATTGCGCCTTGTTGATGAGCATTGTACCATGCTTGTTGACAAGCATTGTGTCATTGAGCGCTCACGTGACCTTGCTTGTTCATGAGCTTGTCATGTGAGTCTGCCTGAACCCATTAGGCACTGGCTGGGCAGCCTTGTTGTGCTGCGCCTTCCCCCAGGCTTCTGTGTTTGGTTGGTGGTTACTTATTGCTTCTGCAATCCTATTGCGGGACATAGGATTGTAACAGCACCTTCACGGTGTCGGTATCCATCAACACCTCCACAGGCACGTTCCCCACAATGACAGTCCATCTGGCTTGGAACATACTGCTTCTTCCGAGTATTGTAGCTGTTGAAGTTGTACTTTAAGCAAAGCTCGTAAGTACTATTCAATTGGTTCTCAAGGATGAGCTCTGGTTCTGGATCAGTAGGGGTAAGTCGCCTAGGTGAAACACCTAACGATGGCTTGGGGTAACAATGAGTAGTACAGGCAATCTGTCTAGCTCAAAGGTTGGTTGAGATCCAATGACAAACTTAATTGACAAGGTTGAACACAAACCATAAGGGTTGTGTTCCTACATGCTATATACTAAACGTGGTTGCGTGGTGATCCGTCTGCTCTGTGTGATCTGATGGCGCAGTGAGAGCAGTGGGAGCGTTCATGCAAAGTGCTCTGCGTGCTCTGTTGCTGTACATTGGATCATGAGATCAGTGAGAGCATATATGCAGTCTGACAGCCGGCCTTGTTCCCGTCTCAGTTTAACCAAGACTTGCCGCTGCTCTGTTGTTGCCTACGTTAGCGTGAGAGCAATCCTTGTCAGTGCTACCTAGTGTACCACTGTGTCATCCTGACATGGCTTGCAGCCAATAACAATCCACCCAGTCACACCTCATGGAACCTCATGGAACCTCATGGAACCTCATGGAACATCATGGAACAACATGGAACATCATGGAACATCATGGAACATCATGGAATCCCATGGAACAACACAGAATCTTCTGGTTGCTGACAAATGATTACAAATGATTACAAATGCCAATGTATCTAGAACATTCCAGGAGCCAGCAGTCTGTCTATAAAGGCAGCCTGCCCTCCTGCTCAGATAACTCATGCTTGCAATACAAAACTCAATCCACTCCTTCAATTCACCTCAACAATTCCTTCCTCAACTCACTCCTCACTGATCCTTTGTAGTATTCCTACACTTGATCCCTTCTTTATCACTTATCCTTTTTACCACTTGTGGTATCCCCACACTTGGTCTCCTCTACACCCTTATCTCCAACAAGCCTGAACCATCCTTCCACCAATCCTTCCATCTCAGAGAGCAGTTGGTATCCCCACCTGGCCCCCTCTCACACATAGAACTGCAGGCAGCAGTCCTTCCTGTTCCAATTGTGTTTGACATTGTGTTGAAGTTGTACTTTAAGCAAAGCTCGTAAGTACTATTTGATTGGTTCTTGAGGATGAGCTCTGGTTCTAGAACAGTAGGGGTAAGTTGCCTAGGTGAAACACCTAACGACAGCTCAGAGTAACAATGAGTAGTACAGGCAATCTGTCTAGCTCAAAGGTTGATTGAGATCCAATGACAAACTTGATTGACAAGTTTGAACACAAACCATAAGGGTTGTGTTCCTACTTGCTTATATACAGTCCACCAGATCTGCTTGTTGACAAGCAGAGTTGGTCCTGGCCAATTGTAAGGGTATCTGTGACAGCGAGCTCAGTAGCAATGGGGGGTGGTCTTGTAAGATTAATTGCTACCGTTCCCTGGCCATTGTGTGCCCAATTATCTATGCGCTCTCACCCATACCATGCTAGCGTCCCAATGGGACATGACAGCCTACTTCACTACAGCACTGTAATCCCGTTACACCAATACAGATAGATTGTGTCTTGTTGACAAGTACCATATGATGCTCGTTGACAAGCATGGTGTCATGATCATTGACAAGCACTCATGTGACCGCTCAGCTGAGAGCATCCTTCAGGTGTTGGCTGGGTAGCCTTGCCGTGCTGCGCCTTCCCCCAGGCTTCCATGTTTGGTTCGCGGTTACTTATTACCCGTCGTCCTATTGCAGGACGTAGGATTGTAACACATTGGTATCCCAGCGCTCTCCTTCACGGCACCAGGTTCTGATCATACCCCTCTCTTCTCCTATCTGAGCAGGAGCCTCATCTGTGAAGACTACCTGGTAAAAGTTGTACCCCTTGTTGTCAGGCCTGGCTGATGATATAGTACTGTTCTGGCTAGGGCTCACCATTAGAGTGAGCTGTGTGTAAGGTTACTGTAGGCAGGCAATTGGACACAGGATGGATTGGGGCCATCTGGGGCCAAATGGGATGAGATTAAACAAATCCTTGATGGTTGAGCCTCAAGGTTCATAAGGAATATATACAGGTGGCCTGTGAGCCTCTGGTCCAGTCCTGGAGTACATCTGAGGGCTGGCCAATACTGTTACAATCAAAGGGCAACCTGCAACAACACTGAATGAACAGGACTACACAACAATACAAGAGGAGCCAAGGAACTGTAGTATTGATTGACTCAAGCAGTGGGCTGCGTTGGCAATACTCAGTATGATCATCACTCTCAGTGGAGCAACTCAAGTGACCTGAGCAGTGGGCTGCATCGGCAACACTTGGCATGAGCAGTATACTTGGTACAATTAGTGTACTTGGTACAATTGGTGTACTTAGTACAATTGGTATACTTGGCATGGTCAGTATACTTGACACAAGCAGTATACTCAGCATGGTCAGTATACTCAACACAAGCAGTATACTTGGTACAATCAGTATACTCAGTACCAAGCAATCTGAGCAATCTGAGCAATCCTCTGCTCATGTATATAGCAAGTACACACGCTGCCCTTATGGCATTGTGTTCAACCTTGCCAATCAACTTTGTTATTGGAATCTCACTTGCTCTTGAGCCAGACAGTATACTCTGTACTACTCATTGCAACCAGTTGCCATGGTCTTTGACTAGACAACTACCTGACTATTACAAAGGCTACTACTGCCTTGCCCAGATAGTCTACCCCTGACCACCCAAGCTTTGCTTAGGTGACTGTCAACCCCTATGGCTTTCTGTACCTCTGCTCATCCCTGAGAATCAATCAACTAGTGTCTACAAGCTTTGCTTAAGGCACAAATTGTAACACACGGGTATTTCCCCTTACATGTACCTGTTGAAGTCGTACTTTAAGCAAAGCTCGTAAGCACTATTCGATTGGTTCTCGAGGATGAACTCTGGCTCTGGAACAGTAGGGTAAGTCGCCTGGGTGAAACACCTAACGACGGCTTGGGGTAACAATGAGTAGTACAGGCAATCTGTCTAGCTCAAAGGTTGGTTGAGATCCAATGACAAACTTAATTGACGAGGTTGAACACGAACCATAAGGGTTGTGTTCCTACACATATATATACAGTCCACCAGATCTGCTCGTTGATGAGCAGAGTCGGTCCTGGCCAATCCAGATGGATTGCGGTTCGTCAACGAGCATGGTACGATGCTCGTTGACGAGCATCACGTCATGCTCGCTGACGAGCACTCACGTGACCTTGCTCGTTGACGAGCTCCGTCACGTGTGTCAGCTCGGCTGAGAGCAATCCCCTAGGCGCCGGCCGGGCGGCCTTGCCTTGCTGCGCCTTCCCCCAGGCCTCCGTGTTTGGTTGGCGGTTACTTATTGCTTGTCGTCCTATCGTGGGACGTAGGATCGTAACAGTACCAGCCAGCCCTTGGACAGACTCTGGAGCTGGACTGGAGGCTCACAGGCTACCTGTATATATTCCTCACAAACCTTGAGGCTCAACCATCAAGGATTTGTCTAATCCCATCCCATTTGGCCCCAGATGGCCCCAATCCATCCTGTGTCCAATTGCCTGCCTACAGTGACCTCACACTTAGTGTCAAAATTGGCCCACGTTTAGGTAGGGCAGCTGCCCAGGCGGCTTTTGGTGGAGAGGCTGGGGTCAGACTTGGCGTGTCAGAGGATTTCTCCAAAGTGGTCTTGGCCAACAACACAACATAGTTGAATGAAGCTGAAACTTGACGTCATTATTAAACACATGTATCACAGCCACCTCCTGCAAGGGTTCTTAATTTGACTACATTGTGGTTGATCTTTTAACACCTTTGGATGTAAGGGGCAAGCCGCTGAGGGCAATATGCAAACTAGAACTTCATGGATTTGATAAGGAGCAAGTCCCAGAGAAGGACTTGCAGAGTTTTAAAACTCCTGCTTTGGTGGTTGCAGGGCCCACCCCAGAGGTGGCTGGGGATTGTATGCCCAATTTGAAGGTACCAAGGCCAGTGCTGTTGCCGAGGCGCTAACACTGGGCCTAGCCCATTACATCGGAGGGGCTGTAGACATGAGGGGGACAAGATACTTAAAAATTGTCTAAGTCCCCAAAAGCTATAGGGAATTTTCCCTCTTAGTTTCTTAGCGTGAAAAAAGCAAGAGGAACACCAAACCTATCAGCAGGAAAGCTAGCTGGGGATACTTTTATGTTCATACCTGTACAATGAACCTATGACACAGCAACATACTTGGATTAAAGGAAGTTATTCTACAAGGTCTTCTCAATCAATCCTGATGCTTTTGGTAATCTCAAGTGTTGCCATTCCTGATGCCAGTATTGTTTGCCAGCGGTCCATTGCAGTGTTTCCCAGCGGTCCGCTGCACTGATTGTCCAGCTCATTTGGTCAGCTTGGGTTTGCTTCTACACCCGTTCACGGCTATTCCCTTCTACTATATAGTCCCAATCGATCCTCACCATAGCTCAAAAAGATCAATCAATACTCTCAACCCTTCCACAAGTATCCCTTGAAATTTTTCCAAAAAAGCAGTTCTGGCAAGTACACCTGATCCCAACTCAACCACCCATTGCATCCTGGATAAGCCCTTGAACTTCAATACCGGCAAGCCCCCTATTAGCCCCATTGCCAACAGTGCTGTTGAGTGCAGAGGTTGCTTGGACTGTGGCCACAACAGTGACCAGCGCCACAAGGCGATCAATTTTCTGGTCAAGGCCGCTCCTGTAGACTGAAACCTTCACTGATGACCTTTTCTCCCTGTTCTTGAAGCCATAGATCTGCCTGATGATGTTCTGGGATGGTACCTCCAGCGTTGAGGTACCGCAGATGATCTCTCGATCCCAGTTCATGATAATGGGTCCAGGCAGCTCATGGTGTTGCTCAATTCTACCAGGTAACTCCTCACCTGGGTTGAGGTCAACCCAGCAAGTGTTGTCAACATTATCGCAGTGAGCATTGGTACACTTCCAGTACCTTCTTACTTGCCCTAGGCCTCCGCCAGCAAGGTGGTTAGCCATCACTTCATTGACCTGAGTCAACTAGTGTTGAGTTGAAGTGCCTATAGCTGGAGTGGCAACAGGAGTAACCACAAGGTCAAATATGACTCCAACAGGCTTCTTGTGGGTATAGAAGCAGTGCTATACAAGCTCAGTAAACCTGCAGAAAGCAGCGGAGACCTCTGGCTCATCCATGTGCAGCGACTCTGACTTGCAGTGTCTCTTCTGCTGACTATCCACATACACTGAGGCAGTGAGGTCATGGTGTTTCACCGCAGGATGGCACACCTTCTCGATAGCATCCTTGCTATACGTCGCGTCGAGGTTTTCCCACTGTTTCTTGTGGTTCCGCTTGTTCTTGATATCCACTGGGTTCTCAGCTGCGAGCACAAGACGTAAGGCGTATTTGGCGCGTTTTTATGGTTGGGCCGGACGAGGGTGATGACCAAGTGTTCCCCTTTAGGACGAAGCTTCAAGCGCTGCCAGACGAATCGGGAACTTGAGCACGGGAGTGGAGTTCTCTTGAAGCGCTGATTCTGGAACCTCGAGTGTGTTGATTCGGTCGCGCCAGTTGTTGGCTTCAGCAGCTTCATCGATGGGTGGCTGATCCTCATCTGTCAGTGCTGGAGGGCTCCATAGAAGTTCACGCTGCGCATCAGGGTTGCCCTCAGATGCGCGCCTAGCCGAAGCTTCAACAGAGCTACAGCTGGCTTATGGAGCATCCGTATCTCCTTTGGGCCGGCGAATTATCGTTGTGCGGAAGGGTTGAGATGATTGTGTTGATTGATCTTTAGAGCTATTGGCTGGAATCGATCGAGACTATATAGTAGAAGGGGATAGCGTGAAGGGTTGGGAAAGCAAACCAAACTAACCGAATGAGCTTGACAATCAGTGCAGCGAGCCGTTGGCAAACACTGCAACGGACCGCTGGCAAACACTGCAACGGACCGCTGGCGAACACGTTGTCACTATGATTTCATCAAGAGATGTTTCAACAGCTCATCAGTCTGGGTTACTGACACTTTGTCCGGACGCTTCTTTAGTTGACGCTTCTTCGGCGTGCCGTTGCCATTTCGGTGGTCGGCTCCGCCTCTTGTTCCTGCTGTTGTGCTGCTAGCAATGTCGTGATGACGGCTGTGGACTCTCCTTGAAGCTGCGATCCATTCAAAGGTATACCCTGAAGTTGCCAAGTTTGTCCGCTGACTGTAATCAACGGTCCTTGAAGCTGCGTACAATAGGTCAGTGAGCAACAAACACTTCGCAAACATGTTAGCTTACGCAGATGGAGAGCAGGCTGTAAGCGGTTCTCCCCGTGTCACGGTGCCAAACTCATCAACCTGAACCTCACTCTGGAATATATCTCCGGTCACATTGATGGAGGCATCAGGAGGCCCGGTGCGTGGCGGTATACTCGAAGACATTGCTGAGGAAGCACACAATGAAGCTCAACGTATCTTGTACTTGCACCGATACGAGAATGAGGTAGCGGTAGGGTGGTCGAACACGATCGTGAACTGTGACGGGGGGTTTCGTGATATACAACGTAGAGGAGCTGCGTCCAAGCGGGTCACAATGATGTTCCCTTCACTCGTTGTCCCTGATCGCGCCATCGACCAACTATCCTCGCAGCTGTCGTCCATGATTGGCAGACCTTGTCAAGTTGCCTTTCGGTTCAGTGGAAGTCGGCTAAAGCTCATGAGGCAGGAGGTTGTGGGCAATATTGTCGGGAAGACGATGCGGCCGACCATGTGCTTGAGGTGATTGTAGCTGCCATTGCAGTGTCGAGTCTCCGATGGATGTTGAAAATGCGCCAGGAAGAATCTTACGATTATGTTAGTACAATGTTTCGTGATATGCGTTACAGTGATGTCAGGAGCTGACTTGCTTGCCAAGTCAAGTGCGAAAGGAAGGTGCAAACTGGGCAGTCGCTCTTGACCAAGAATGGCAGAACCACCAGGATTATCGGAAAGACAAGGTGGCACGACGTGTTTTGCAGAGAAAACCATGTTGGGGGACAAAGATTGGGGAACGCGAAGGCGCTGCCTTCGAGTACTACTATATTGTACATGAGAACGTGGACTGTCATTACAAACAAAGGGAACAGCTATCGTCACCTCGCACAAGCAATGCCACTTTCGATATCCGGAGACGCCCAGTCGTGGCTCTGCTTCCGCAGCGACTCCTGCGACACCTTCTGCCTCGGTCCTTCGAGAACAGTGACTTTGGTTGTCTTCATGATGCCTACACTCTTATTTTCTTCATCCTCTAGAATTGCGCGCTCGCTGTCAGAATCGCTGTCGAGCGCTGACTCGCCTGGATGAACGCTCTTGTGCGTGCTCTTGTGCAAACGCTTGTTGTTCTCGTACGTGTCTAGTCTGATGTGGTTGCCGTTGGTCGAGCGCCCGTATCCATATTGCGAGTTTGGTGTCTTGGAGGGTGTGAGAGTGGAGGGGAGGATCTTTTGAAAGAGATTGTCGAATGCCTTGCGTAGTGGCGGCAGAGATGCAATAAGGATACCGATGGACAGCTCAGCTGAACTCCAGATTCCGAGGTTGACTCCTGACCAGGTTGGGTCCCTGGTCTCAGTGATGGTCTTCAGCTCGATGGTCTTGAAAATAGAGCAGATCGTAGCACTGCAAGGATCGATGTTAGCTGCGAAAACTCCGTCTCGTGATGTGAGCTGACTTACGGAATGCTTAACAAGAATACGATGCGAATACCCCATTGCGTCTTCCGCGACAGCTGTACTTGAGACAGATAGATAAGCGGTGCGGCCATGTAAATTACATCAGTCAGAATGTTGCAGATGCCCTGTGTATATGAGAGCCACAGCGTGCCTTTAGCCCAGCAGTGTCTAGGTTGATATCCATAGTTCCAGTTTGCTTCGAGGGGCGCGCAACCAAACAGCGTCAACACTGGCGCAAGAAAGTTGAAGGCAGTAACCAGCGCAATCGAAAACCATACGATGGCCTGGTATATCTTGGAGAAGTTGAGCACCAACAGCCATGCGCAAATCGACCACTTCAGAACCGCGACACCGATGATGTTGACGATTTGTGTGATCCAAAGGTAGTAAGAGTAGCGCATAACATCGACCGACGGGTCCAAGAAGTGTCGTCCCAGGCCAGCATCGATGACGACTTGGTTGATGCCAGTCGCGCTGATGTTAAGAAGCTACAAGCAATCTTATTAGATCTTCCGGTCGATCTGAAGTGGGTATAAAACCTACAGTGGCAATGATCAACAGGTGATCGCATATCATGAACTTGCGTCCATGTATGAACCCATACACAACTCTCCATACAAGGAAAGCTGTACTGATAATCATAAGAGTCCATGCTGGAACGAGGATCTTGATCCGTTCATTGGGCCAGTCTTGCTGTGCTGAGCCCGTGGTATCCATTGTGTTCGATGGGTCCTTCCAAAAAAGCGAGAGAGAAGACAGCCGCCGAGGGCGACGGTGAGCGGCGTCGATATGTAGGCAGTTCGTCCTCCCATGTCATCCTGGAGGAGCAAGTGCAGTCAAACGTGGAAATGCAGGACCGACGATTTGGGAATAGAACACGGACATAGTCACTGATCCGAGCAGAGGGATACGGGTTTCCAGACTGTATTGCAGGAACAGTCCTTGCACAGGGGTGGCGATCCACGGACTGAACTGTTCGTGTTGTACCTACCCTTGATTGAGGGCCCGCAGGGGTCATATTGCGCCGATTGGAGAAAGGACGGTGAAGAGTGGAGTTGGATGCCCTGAAACCACCTTGAACCGTCATGCATCTGACATCAAGAGTCTCAGAAGATATCTGATACACTTTGACATCAGCTGTGACAGAAATGAGCACACCCTTACGTCGTTGCAATCGTCGACGTCAACTTTGACATGCTCTACGTTATGTGGGGAGAGCAACGGCTCCAGAGTGACAGAACTCAAAAGAGCGGAAGTTGGTGCGACTTCCTGTACGAGTCGTGGGATAGAGCTAGCGAGTCGAGCGAGGGTTGCTTGAGATTTGGACCATAGATTTTAGTCTGGGATTCGGAGATCATTCTCGTTGTTAAAGTCAAGCCGTCCCGCTAGGTATCAAACAAAAGCCACACATTTACTCACGCCACCGCGGCAATGTCCTCAATGCAAGCTCAATGATCCTACCGCGACAGGCTGTCTGGTGTAGCTGTCCATGAAGCTCTGCGACGTAGACAGAACGAGTACTAGTCTTCTGCACTAGCTTACCGACCTCCATAATATCGTCCGGTTCAAGGACTTCGTCTTCGGAGCTCAGGGTGCTCGTATCTGGAACTACCACTGCTGGAACTTGGTAAATGATTCCCTGCGATGAGCTTGTTTTGAATAAGGTTCTAGGCTCGCGTCTACATGCGAGCAGACACTCGATCGGCGACAGACCCTAGCGGCGAGGTTGGGCCGCAGGTGCGCCTCTGCCATAGCTGCCGTCCACGTGCTCTGGGGGCATCCCTAGAGCCAACTGCTTGGCTTGAGCTAGAACAAAATGCATCAATTTTTGATGGCAAGGAGCGCTTTGACCGGCGGGATGTGCTCTAGGTCCAATGATACGTGTGCCGCTAGGCCTATCGTGAGGCTGCTGCTTACTACAGCTAGACTCTTGTGTATGGATTTCCCATCTTTCAGTAGCTCAAACGGTCCGATCGCTTAGTAACTCTCCGGCGCAGGAATTCGGCGTACTGCGGCGCAGACGGTCTGGGGAAAACGAAACGTAGACGTACATACATCAGATCAAAGAAATTCATCTCACACGACTCGCTTTTGCCACTGCGCAAATGCACATGTCTTGCATGCTCGAATTGCCGCGCTCTCCGAAGTTTCGCTTGAAACAGACATTTGTCCGAGTTGGTGAGACCGGGAATGGAAACCGAGCCGTGTGGGGACTGACTTGAGTCGTACACGTCCGTCTTGTTGGGGAACGTGCACCTAACGAGTCCTCATAATTTCGCCATCATAGTCTTTCGCTCACCTTATCCAGGCGACCTGTAGATACTGTGCGTATGCGGATACGGAGGCTCGTCACCGCTTTCAGGCTCATCTCCAGAACCCAGGCAGTGATTGCGCAACACCAATAATGATCCCGGTTGAGTCCAGATGTTTGTGCATTGACAGTTGTCAGGTCTGGCTTCTAGAAGTGTTCGATTGTGGGGTCAAACTTCCTGAACCCGTCAAGAATTCTGTAAAGTAGAGTTTGATTGAGGTCCTCGTCCTTGATGTTCTGCCACCAGCTTCTCTGGCATCGCACGATGTTGGCTCTGGCGTCGGGTAACGCGCCGCGCCGTTTCGACAGCGATGTTCGAATGAGTGCAAGACCCTGGAATGCATTGACTCGCTGCTGTGGTGCAATTTCGTAGAGACGAATTTGGCCTGAGAAACATAGGTTTCTAGTCCGGAGAAGGATTGCACAGCCGCCACTGTTTGTTTCCAGGCATTGATTTTGCTCGCCCTCCGCCTTACTGTGGGACTTTCTTTTATCGACAAAAGGAGTCTTCGGGATATAGCGAACTGCCGACTTTCCCACGTGGCGCGGGACGTCTTCGACCAATGTCAACGCTCGACTCGATCGTATAAGAACTTTAGTGTCCGCAACTCTTTCAACGTCCATCCACGAGCATCCCAGATCACTTTCGTTAACACTTTAATATACCTGGGTTTTAAGATGCCAGTCTTCTCCCGTTTGGCCGTGGCCGTCCAGCTTTTCAGCATCATCTTCACTCCTGCTCTTGCCGCAGCGACCGCGAAAGACTATGACTATGTCATTGTTGGTGGTGGTGTCACCGGTTTGGTTGTTGCCAACCGTCTGACCGAGGACAAGCGTGGTGAGTAGCTGTTTGCAGCTGAATCCAAGAATACTGCTGATGTGAATTCCTAGTATCTGTCCTGGTCATTGAGAGTGGCGAGTCTGTCGACAGCCCAGGAAACATGATCCCTTACAAGGCCAACGATCTCACCAGTGCCAATGGTCTGATGTGGGATGACCTCACATCTCTGCCTGAGCCCGGTCTGGGCAACTCGACATACAACGTCTTGGTTGCCAAGGTTCTCGGTGGCGGTTCTGTTGTCAACGGAATGGTTTACGACCGTGGTTCTGCTGCTGACTACGATGCTTGGGAGGCTCTGGGAAACAATGGTTGGGGCTGGGCAGGTATGGAGCCGTACTTCAAAAAGGGCACAACCTTCCAGCCCCCTTCAGCTGCTGTCGCTGAGGCATTCAACATCACCTGGGATCCCGAGACATACGGTAGCGGTCCTCTGGCTGTTAGTATCACTGACACTCAGTACCCCGACATTAAGGACTATTGGGCAGCATGGAAGGCCACCGGTGTCCACGTTCCTGAGGATGGCAACAACGGTGAGGCGTACGGTCCTTCCTGGTACGCCAATACCATGGACAAGAAGACCGGTCGCAGGGCACACGCACGCTACGCGTACATCGACCCCATTTCTCAGCGCACCAATCTGAACATCCTCACCAAGACCACCGCCCAGAGGATTATCTTCGGAAGTGGGAAGAAGAAGTTGACGGCCACCGGTGTCGAGATCACTGATGATACTACTGGCAAGACTTCCATCGTGAACGCTAAGAAGGAGGTCGTCCTTGCCGCTGGTGCTATCCAGACTCCAAAGCTGCTACAACTCAGTGGTGTGGGTCCAAGGTCTGTCTTGAAGGCCGCTGGTGTAAAGGTGAAGGTCGAGCTCGATGCGGTCGGGTCTAACTTCCAGGATCACCCTTACGCCACCGTAGTCTTCAACACTACGCCTGTCCACTACCCCAGCCCTAACCTCCTCATGACCAACGCTACTTTCAACGCCTCTGCTTGGGCTCAGTACGAAGCCAACAAGACTGGCCCATACACGTACGCCCGTGGTAACGCCCTCGCCTTCATTTCTCTGCCCGATATGACTTCGAACGTTAGCTCAGTCGTTGCCAGCCTCAACAGCCAGCAAGATGCTTCTTACCTCCCCAGCTTCTACAAGGGCAACAAGAAGTTGCTCAAGGGTTTCGCTGCGCAGAAGAAGATTATTGCCGGTCTATTCCAGCGCAAGGACGCCGCCGTTGCCGAGTTCCCTGTCCCTGCTGATGGCACTTATGGTCTCGTTGGCGTCGAGAAGCCCCTCTCTCGTGGTTTCGTTCACATCAACGCCAAGAACCCCACCGGATCTCCCGATATCATCCACAACGCCTTCGTCAACCCCGTCGATAGAACCGTCATGGCGATTGGTCTTCGTTTCTTCCGCACTGTCTGGGCCCGCCCTGAGCTCAAGGAGTACAAGATCAGCGAGACCGTCCCCGGTGCTCAGTACACTTCCGATGAGGACATCTACTCTGCTCTCCTTGCTCAGGCTTCCTTGTCGCCTACGCTCGCACATCCTTCTGGTTCATGCCCCATGATGCCGGAGAGCGCTGGTGGCTGCGTCAGCGACAAGCTCCTGGTCTACGGCACAAAGCATCTCTCTGTTGTTGATGCTTCGATCATTCCAATCATCCCTTCGTGCCACTTGCAAGCGACCGCCTACGGTATTGGAGAGAAGGCTGCTGCTGTGATTAAGAACAGGGCATAGATCTGTCGTTCCCTTTCTGTGCTTGACCTTTCTTGTACATAAGATTCCCCAATTCCACCAAGAATTCTCAAACAACTTCCATGTTCCATCTCTCATTTTCCAGCTCTTCCAGTGTTCATTCTCGGTGACAGCTTGACACGTAATGTATTGACAAGGGTGTATGATAATCGGTGGGGCAGCCCTGAGTGGGCCGTGAGATTTCCCGCAGACCATCGGCCACATAACACCGAGCTGTGCGCGACAACGCAATGACCGCAAGCGAAGGATCGACAAGTCCTCAAGGATGAGACGCAAGAATTCCAGATCGTGTTGTTACACTCGCTTGCACACTCGGCTTCCGGTTCTGACGCAACTCACAGTTTTGATCTTGCAGAGGTTCCTGCCGCGCCAAGCCTGCCTCTTGCCAGAATAAAATTAGTGCGCGCCTGACATCACATGCAAACGGGACCTTGAAACCGCTCGATAGTTCTGAGCGATTGCACGTGACATGTTTAACCGTCTCAATATGGGTTAGTGTACCAAGCCCGGGCCGCTCTTGACTTTCTTGACGCGTCCATCCAGATTCACTGCAACATGAGCTTTTTCTACAGCACCGTCATTGCTTGTCACAACTTCATCTCCAGCAAAACAATCAGCTTGGGTCGCTGGCTTCCTATCCACAAGCAAGCACGGCACAAAGGAGACGACTTCTCACATGCTGACCCCTTTGGATCTTCATCATTGCAGAGATGTCAAAATGCAAAACGAAATTCTTCGAGTGGGTTCTCGAGAGACTCGCATTAGGCTTGAAATCCTATCCCCTACAGACTGGGCAAAATCGTTACGCCAAACCAATTTCATGTCGACCTTGGAGGCAATCACAAGCATCGATTATGAGACTTTTGAGCTCTGAAGAAGTGCCCACTTGATCTTCTCCACTGCATCATCTTCCCACGCTTTGCTGACAGGAAGCTCCGGACATGTCGTCCAAAAGCCGTGAGGCAAACCTGCATAAATTCGATCTTCTACCTCGAGTCCATTGTCCCTTAGTATGTCTGCGAACACAATCGCCTCATCGCGGCGCGGATCCCAGCCACAGATGGCAAAGTATGCCTTCTTTGCGACGCCCTTCCATTCTTCGTGGAGGAGCGGTGAGTATCTCAGATCGTCCTTTGGAGCGCCATACTTCTTCCAGAAGTACTCAATCGACGTCTTTGTTAAGCCGGGAGCATCGTCTATCTCGTCGACAGAAAGAATCCGTGGTTTTAGGTGCGCAGGTCGAACGTCCGGATGGCACCAACTTCCAGCCCAAAATATCAGGCCTGTGATCCTTGGTGCCAGTCCCTCATCGCGATATCGATGAGCAAGACCAGCTGTAAAGTTTGCGCCTGCTGATGTCCCACCAACAATAAACCCCCTGCTCAGGTCGATGCTCATCTTCTCTTTCGCCGCTGTGCTAGCGCACCATTTCAGGACATCCCAGCAATTCTCGAACCCCACTGGGAACTGATGCTCTGGTGCGAGTTGGTACTCGATGCTCAGAATGCACACATCGACCTCTGTTGCCAAGACCCTACAAGAACGATCATCCGTTTCTAGCGAGCCTGTCATAAAACCGCCACCATGCATATAGAGGAATAGCGGCAAGTCAGATCTGCCCTTGCGACGATAGGCGCGGAGGCGGATGTTGTAAAAATCGCGAGCCTTGATTGTGAACTCGAAAATATCGAGTGCTGGATCTGGCGATATGTCTTTCCGCTCCCGATTCATTTGAACGCCATGTCGCGTGCCTGGAGGAAGGTTGTTGGGAAACTGCGACCGGATCAGCTTCCGGCTTGCTGAATGTGGCAATCCGACTAGACTGAGCGAGGAGACCCTTTAGACTTACATCGATCCATTCTGGGTGCGGAACAGCATACTGGCGGTACTCGGTCATGGCTCGAGATTTTCCAGATCTGTTTGATGTTGTAAGTGTGGTACCTGAAAGTCGAAGGGACCTGATGCCACGCCGCGGAGCGATAACCGAGGATGAGAGCCGCAATCTTCACTTCTTGCGATGCTAGAGAACACGAACTTTATCAATAACCAGATCTGGCAGGATCTCCTGATGAAACTCGGTGCTCGCAAAGGAGATGATCTGATAAGATGACTGAGCGACGCCAGCCCTCATGTGAGCGGGGTCGATCGACAGCCAAGACTTGCGTTTGATCTAATCAGATCAAGACGACGTTCGCAACATACCACTAGCATGAATTGTGACCAACAGGAGGGACTCCCTGCTGTTTTCAGGCGTTCAGCAGGTCGGACATTCGATCTTTTCAAGTAGCGAGCGAAGAGCTGCGGACGGCAGACGCGAAAACTCTGATAAACTTGAGGAGCTTCCGTCAATGAACATGTGTCCGAACAATTTAAGAAGGGCTTGATCGTTGTCTGTTTTGCCATGACCAAGATCAAGCTCTTGAGAGCGAAGGTTGACTTGTTTATCTCGGTAGCCGCAACTCAGACAACACCATGATTTCCAAGGACGAAATCTTGCAACCTCAAGTCAACGAAAGCCTCCCATCGGCCTCACAGAAGGAGCAAAAGAAGAACGATATAATCACGCAAGCCAACGAGGATACTGCAGACGATCTAGTCAAAACCCCTCTCGAGTCTGACACCCCCGGTGTCAAGAAAGTCGAGCGTTTCAGCCATGTTCTCTACCACTCCGGTAGATCGGGGCGCCTACTCTTATACGTCCTTGCTGCCTCCGTTGGTCTGACAATGTTCGGCTATGCCCTCGACCAAGGCATCACTTCACAGTTCACTGTCATAGCAGCATCGGCCTTCTCGCACCATGCTGAAATCAGCGCCGTCAATACTGCCGCCTCGATCATCCGCGCCATCTCAAAGCCTTTCATTGGAAAGCTCTCGGATATCACATCACGTCCAACTTGCTACCTCATCGTACTGATATTCTATGTTATTGGATTCGTGGTGGCAGCGACTTGCCATGACATCGGTGCCTATGTTATCGGTATTTCGTTCACTGCGTTTGGGAAGTCGGGATTGGACTTGTTGGGCGACATCATTGTGGCAGATCTCACACCGCTGGAGTGGCGCGCTTTCTGGAGCGGCTTACTCAGTAGCCCGTTTATCATCACGGTGTTTGTCAACGGCTTCATCGCTGATGCCATGATTCCTGACCAGTAAGTCTGTCCTGTTCTTTTCGTGTATCTGGTATTAGCTGAAAGTTGACGTGCAGCTGGCGCTGGGGTCTCGGCATGTTCGCAATAATGATGCCAGTCCTCCTGATTCCTGCGATCTGGACACTCTACGGTGTACAGAGACGAGCAGACAAGCTTGGTGCTATCAGTTTCGGTGAAGCTGGTGTGGCCCGTAGAGAAGGTATCAAGGTTCGTACCGGCAGCGACTACCTCAACCTCGCCTGGCGCGGCATCATCGACATTGACCTCGCCGGTCTCATCCTTCTTGGTTTCGGTTTCGCTCTTGTGCTCCTATCCTTCAACCTTGCGAAGACAGCCAAAGGAGGTTGGAGCAACCCGTCCATGATCGCTATGCTTGTTGTCGGCTGCATCGTCCTTGGACTGTTCGCTGCGTTCGAGATCCTGGTCGCACCAAAACCGATCATGACCCGCCGGATCTTCAGGAACAGAGCCTTCATCTGTGCTCTGGTAGTTGATGTCACTGGTCAGATGGGGAGCTCGACACGCGCGACCTACTTCTCTTCATACGTTTACATTATCAAGAACTGGTCAAACTACGCCTGGAACACATACCTGAACACCAACACCTTGGTGCTTTGCCTCTTCGGTCCACTCGGTGGTCTGATTCACCGCTACTCACATCGCTACAAGACGCTAATGGTCCTTGGTGCCATCCTCAAGCTCATTGGCAACGCTATTCTGATGACGACCGATGTCCGCAGCACCCAAAACACAGGCGCTCTTGTTATGTCTCAGCTCTTGCTGGGCTGTGGAGCCTTCACAGTCATTGGCGCACGCGTTGGGTCTCAGGCTTCAGTTCCACACGAAGACTTGTCTTCAGCTATCGCGATCGTTGCGCTGTGGAGTACACTGGCTTCTTCAGTAGGATCCACCATCGCTGGGTCCATCTGGAAAGACAAGATGTTACCATACATGCGCGAAGAGATGCCTGACGTGTCGGAGAAAACAATCAGGGCAATTTACAACAGTATCAAGACATTGAGAATACAATACAACTGGGAAGATCCGATTCGACAGGGCGCTGTGAGAGCCTACACTCGCGTCAACGGCACACTATTTCTGGTGGCCGTGATTCTAAACATCCTGCCTGTAATCTTTTCGCTATGCATGCCTGGTAAGTTCCTCATCTCGAAAAGTGGGTCATTTGACTGACAACTGAACATATTATTACCTCGGAAAGCAGCAAAACGCTGTGACGAACAAGGGTGTCGATGGTCAACTCGTGGAGACTGAACGAAGAGCAGAAGAGACCGAAAAGACCGGACTGTGGGTGAAAGTGCAAAGCTTATACCGCAAAGAAACATGAAGCATCGGCTACTATGACCATGCCATCGAGCCTTGCAGGAGTATGGTCAGATAAGGGTTTTGCTTCCCTTTAGGGCCAAGATGTGGCGCCTCTTCGCATGCTAACCCGTCGTTCGGGCCACCGAGGCATGACAGTTAGATGTTGTACCATAAAGTGCTCTATACCTTTACATTTGCATCCGTATTTATATCAAACCACTTCCTCCCATATCCATCTAACTGACAGGGTATGTGGTTCAAAAGGCAGAATACCTCGCGGTTTCCTTGCTGAACAGGGGAGGCTGAAAACACTTCGTGCTATCAACGCTCGAGGAGATGCGGGTTAGAGCGTCGCTGTATTAATTTCTTTTGCAGCTTCCATTACTCAGTGGCTGACCTGCCTCAGGAAAGACCAGCCTCAACGCCTGCATACCCCTGTTTTTTGCTACAATGTCTTCGCTCCTTCTTTCCCTGTTTTAATGACTTTCTCTCTTGTTTCAACACCTTCTTCTCCTTGCGTGACAATCTAGGAAACTCGCTGTCAGGCCCAGCTAATACCCTACCAGGGTGCATCACACCCAGCAAAAGAAGAGCGAGGAGCATTGGCGTAGCATCCAGAGCATATACGAATGCTTCGTTGAACAACATCGGATTTCCAGGCTCAAACCCTTTGGTAAATTCGACGAGTCGGAAGATGATTCGAACCTATGAAGCGCTATTAGTGACGATTGAAGACCGGATAGGTGTTCACTTACAGTGATGAGAATGAGGACGATGAACATACTCCACATCTGCAAACGCCAGCCGGTCCTGTTCTCTGGCACTTGGCCTTGCTGTTCAATCTGATTCATATCTCGTACAAACTTGATACCAAGAATTGTGAAAACGACCTTGAAGATTGTTAGCATCTGCACCAGAGGCTTAGAGCAAAGCACATACGATGAAGCCCTCTTGCACACCCACACCAGCCATGTACACTTTGAGACCAATCTTCCGAGCATCTGCATCACTGTCTGGGTTCAGCATCATGCCACCAGCAGCTTGTACTAAGAAAGATACAATGTCTGCCCAAACGAAGTACTTCGCGATGCTCGGCGCTTTGAGACCAGCGCAGCGACGATCGGGGTGGAAGAAATGCACCAAACGGCCGAAAGTCATGTAGACAAAAGCATTGATCCCTGGTATCGTTCAGACAAATGGATTGGCATGTCTGACCCCAGCGATGACTTACAAAGCGGCGCAAGCAAGAACAACAACTGGCTCGCCGTCGCAAGTCCAATGTTCTGCTGATCCCTACTTCCCAATGTGCGACACACGAAGCTCGTCAACTCGAAAAGCACGCCCACGATCACAACCCATGTGAATCTCTTCTTGTGCCAGAAGGCTTGGGAGACGTGTGCGATGGTCAAGAAGCCGAAGAGGACAGTGAAGAGAATGGCAGTGGCGAAGGAAGGATTGTATGTATAGTATGCATTGCAGGCTGAGTAGTCGTCTACATGGCCGTATCTGCCTGGGACAGCGGTGGTGCATTCTGGTGATGGGGAAGAGTCGGCCCGAGAAGCAAGGTGAACGTATTGTAAGGTAGAGGTAGGTATGGTAGGCATGTTTGTCAAAGGAAAATTCGATACCGTTGTAAGTTGTAGTTATTCTTTTTAGTGCCTAAGGATGGTTGTAACTAGCTCGACGAATTTCTGTTCATATATGTTGCTCTCGCACTCTAGCTTTCATTGACCGGGAAACAGGCCGCGCCTTTTGCATTCGCGACGCGCATTCTGAGCGATAGAACGCGTGTTCGAATCGTAAGCCAATCCAAATTACGATGGCTAAGCGTTGCAAGTTGTGTGTTCTGGAGGTCGTGTCAGCCTTCAGGCCAGCCAGGCGCAGCGGGAGGCTCAGCTTCTTTCGCAAGATATCCCCAATCTCGACAACCTCAACATTAGAGCTGACAAGAATTCGGAACTACTTCGTTTGTTGACACAGCTCAATGAAACGGATTACTCATTTTAGACGCTGGAAGTTACGAAATGTCGTAATGGCTGAAGGTCTCTTCTAAAAGTGTATGGTTTCCACTAATCCTTCCAGTACTCGCACGCAGATCTCAGGCGCTTGGCTAGATCCTCACAGCTGCTGCAATTACGCTCTTTTTTTTTAAATGACAAACGCGCCCTTACTCTCTGCGAAGACCTTGCCCTGCCCATCTTCGACCCAGCCTACTGACTCGATCCACTGGCCCTTCTTCTTGACCACCTTCGCTCGACAGAGCAACACACATGGTGTCGTTACTGCTGCTTTGTGCTTTACGTTCAAATCGGCGGTTGCGCAGGTGTTATCGTAAACATACGAGATGAGCGTGCACATCACCTGATCCAACAGCGTCGCTCGCTCCTCCATGCAAGTGCCGCACACCGGTATCGACATCGTGGCCAAGACTTATCAGTAGTTACATCTCTGGTGTGTCCGGATCAGTCGCACTGAACACCTGCTCTTCCTTCGACAGTATGGACGACCCTAGCACGGCTGGTTGACCCTGTTTTGCGCCCTCGTTGATCGAGGATGTATTCTCAGTGAACACAGCCCTCTCGTCATACTCTCATTCAGTATTGCCGGGGGCTGAACATAGACAGAAATGCCCTCAACGCTTCATCGGTGAATAGCATTTTGGTGAAGAGCGTGTTGGACACGTCATCATGTTGGTCGGGTACCTGGCGCTTCTGTATGCGCGTGATCGACGGGCCCAAGAGCAGGCCTTGACACCAGTTTAAAGAAGTGAAGTCCTGTAGATGCTCGATTCTGCCGTGCGCAGAGGGAGGGTGAGGTAACCGGTGTTGGAAGGTGATTTCCACCGGTACCCATTACCTTACGGAGGAGCTGCTCCTAGGCTCTAAGCCTAGCCCACAAGGTGAGTCCACATGGGTCTTGCCCATTACAGATAGCTGGGAAAAGTACAAGCAGTATTTTGACCTTATGCACTGCAAAATGGAACAATACTCTATCCTGCCAGAGGACACTTACAATATGGATGAGAAGGGCTTTGCTATTGGGAAGTTCTCCAAGTCAAAAAGGGTGTTCAGCAAGCCTCTGTACAAGCAAAAACACAGTTGGCAAGCATCTCAAGATGGTAATTGTGAGTGGATTACACTCCTCTCGTGCATCTGCAGCAATGGGAGCTGGCTTGTGAGAGGGGGCCAGCTGGGGATACCAACTGCTCTCTGAGATGGATGAATGGGGGGATGGAAGGTTCAGGCTTATTGGAGATAAGGGTGTAGAAAAGACCAAGTGTGGGAATACCACAAGTGATAGAAAAGTGCCATGGTTCAGGGTGCTCATGCCCGTCAAACCTCACCTGCCATGAGAGTGACGGCCACGTCACACTAGCGTTGTGTTGAAGTTGTACTTTAAGCAAAGCTTGTAAGTACTATTTGATTGGTTCTCAAGGATAAGCTCTGGTTCTGGAACAGTAGGGGTAAGTTGCCTGGGTGAAACACCTAACAATGGCTTGGGTGCAATGAGTAGTACAGAGTATACTGTCTGGCTCGAGAGCAGGTGAGATTCCAATAACAAAGTTGATTGACAAGGTTGAACACAATGCCATAAGGGCAGCATGTCTACTTGCTTATATACTTGACAGGAGGATTGATTGTACTGCTCATATCAAGTATCGTCAGTGACTTGATACTCAGTCCAATCAAGCGTTGTCGACGTAACCTCAATACTCGGTCCTTGGTGTCCTATTGATTGTTGTCAACATGGGTCCTCTGCAAGTGGGTCGGTATATGGGTCCGTGACAATCGTTTGTGTAC